GCTCTGCCCCATGGGATAGGTGCCAACATGGCGGTCCAAACATGCTGGTCAGGTAAACTTTCAAGGAGGATGGGGAGGTTGAGATTTTCAGTTTGTTACAGAGATCAACTCACAAGTAAACACTGGGTCAGGGACGACATCCCTTTAAAAATCAATGAAAGCAAGATCACTCCCTAACTCCCAATATATTTTTTGAAATATATTTTCAACAAGGTTATTACCTTGTAGCCAGGATGAAGCTAAGCAAAACTTGGAATATGAAACCAGGCAGGAGGGATTCTCACTGTACTTTTTCACTTTTCCCTCCCCAAACTCTACTTACTCAATTTCACACTTCCTTCTTGTTGTTCTGTTTACAGTTCAAAAGCTTATCCACAGGCAGAATCCATAACTAAATATTTTGTCATTGTCACATCCTGGGAACATGTACATTTGAACAGAAGGCTTAATGGGAAAGGAACAAACATAAATTATTAAGGTGTGTAGTGGGACAGGAGGATTCCTAACATGTGTTGCATTATCTAGTCCTCTAACTCTGTGAGTTAGATACACTTAACTCAATTTTATAGATAAGAAACCAAAGCGAAAATAGAAAGAATAGCAAGAAAATGTATATGGGGTGTGAAAATGTGTATGTGGGCAACAGGTTGAGCAATGAGCATGCATGGTGAGTTGGAAAAGGACAGTGACTTTGTACATTGTATTCTGGAAGTCTTTGACAATTTGACCACAGTTATGGAGTTGGACTCTTTCTTGGTTCTCTGTGGGTCTTTCAACCTCATTCTGAAGAAATTGCTACTGTTGAACATTCTTCACCTGGTCAGTGCTTAGATTTCTTAAAGAGCTAGGATAAGACAGGTGCACAAACTGTACTGCTCACAGCATTTGTCTTGCAATTGAGCTTTTTTTCTTTCTAATGTTCGTGGCCTTCCCTGGGTAATCTTAGGAAAATCAGAGACTCCTCCCCACTGCTTTCCTTCTAAGATTCTTCCTTTCTTCTAGTTCAGTGCTTCTCAAAAGTGGGTATGGAAACTAATAAAAGTAGGAATTTACTAATTTACCAGGTTACCCAAATTCATCCTATGGGTCAATCCTATCCCTTCTGTCATCAATGAATTCTTGATCTTTAAATATTTACTATTCTGTTTTTAATTCTGTGTGATTTCAAATTCCTCTGTCTCCTTCTCTCCCTCCTCCTTTTGTTCTTTGATATGGGCAAAGTACAAATTTGGGGGATGTGTGATCTATCCTTCATGGTGAAGGTGATTCCATTGTGACAATTGATGAGTGCAAGAAGGCAAGAGACTCTTGAATCATGTTTGCAAATTTATCAAGAAATATTCATCCCACCCTACCCTGTTCCAAATACTATTGTTGTTTCCACTATGAAGATAAATTATATTGTGAAGAAATTCTTTAGTATTTTTCTGCACATGAAAGCAAAGAGACTAGTTTAAGAACTGCATTAGATTAAATCTGCATTTATAAAATAATGATATAACACCACTTCAGTCACCATGGAATTATAGCAAAGGCAAAGAAAGCAGACTTTCAACCTGAGCAATATGTTTTATCTATATTTTAATCAGAAATAATAAATGTACAATAATCTGCATTTAAAGAAAAACTTGATATGCCCAAAGTCATACCTAACAACATTAAGAATTATTTCTGAATTTTCATACAACCCACGTAATTATATAGGCTACTAAAGTTTGCAATATAAAGAAATACTGATATCACAGACTGCCCTGTGAATATCTCATAGAATAACAGAAGTCTAGGTTGAATTCATTCACTCAAGAAGAAACAGTTTTTATTGTACCTGAAGGGTTATGATGATAGAAACAATATTTTAAGTGATTGAAAACAATTAGCAATAAACTAATTTCAAGCATCATCATTGAGCACTTCAGAGAAATCTGAGTGTTTGGGAGGAAATAGTTTATTAACTTCTATCCTTTAATGACAAGAGAATACTCCAGACATTATTTCATTGATAAGACATTCCTGAATGAATAGAGGATAAAAGGCAAATCTAGGGCTTTAAAAATGATATTCTGCCACTTCCTGCCTTCCTCCCTCCCTGCCTTCCTTACATCTTTCCTTCCTTCTTCCTTGCCATCCTTTCTTCCTGCCTTCCTATTTTTTTTTATGACATCTGTGCCTTATGGCTAAAGAAATATTTTATAGCCTTCAGTTGCACAGAATAGGAATTTCATGATTCCATGATAGTTGTAAAACTTGTGTATTTTCTATCTCATTTTTGGTAGCTGATGTATCTTGGGTGTTGATGTGTTTGAATGGGTTTTCAACACATGGGAGGGCAATGACTAGTACTGAAAAAAGGTTCATGTTTACATTTCCTTTCCTTTATGCTTTTGCACTAATGTGCAGTTTTATAATTATACAATTATCATTATACAGTCAATTGAATTTGTTTTTTAAATCCTAGTCTGGAGCCTTAAATTACCTCTGAATAATTTTTATGCTAATCTCATGATTCTTCACTATTGTTTGAACTATACCATCTTTGAACCAGGAACGTATACAGTTTATTTGGAGATGTTATGTTCACCCATCTGATTCTACTGTGATGAGTTGTATGACACCAGACAAATTACATAATATTTGTAAGCCTCAGTTTCCTCATTGGTACATGGAGGTGATAATGTTATTGGGAGGACCAAAGGGGATTGTGCATAAAAGCACTGATCATGGTGCTATACAGAGGAAGAACCACATAAATTTTATCTCATATCATTAACTGATTCTTCTCTCATACATGCATAATACTAGACTGTTCCAAGATCACTTAAACTTATGTCAAAATAACTCAGATTTAACAAAAAGCCATTGTTTAAATGATCAAAGCATAAGATACGACTATAAAGATGTGATATTTTTAAAATATATATTCACTTGAATGTTATCCTTTAAGTCGTCTTAGAAAATAGACACATATTCAAAAATCTTACCATTGCTCAAAGGTTTTTAGACTTATGGAAGACTTCAGAAACAAATTCTGAGCCATTTTAAAAAACCCTCAGTGTTACTGTTCTTATTTGGCTAAAAATTGAGCCCATCCTTGAAGGGTGAGGAAGGTCAAATGGGATACTCTCTTCCATTTTAAAGAGCTTTTAAATTATAAAGAGCTGGTCAAACATACAATGCTATGGAGTAGAGTATTAAAGAATGAATATCCTCATTGAGAATATTAGGAAATATGCCTCAGGCTCTTAAAGGAATTCTAAAAGCCTACTCATGTTTTAAGCTAGAGTAGCACTGTTATGATGTATATCGTTTCTAGAGTGCCTGCCTGGAGGTAGACAACACCCACTTGAGGATGTAAAATTTAGTTGATAAAAAAATTCATTCATACTATTACTGTTGTTACCACTGTGCTTTTATGCATCTCTTGCCACATCTAAAGTGTTCTCCTATAATGTTATTTAATCCAGAAACATCGTACTCTGCTAAGCTATGACCTTCAGTTTGCTTCCAAATTCCTCTAAGTTTGGGAAAGAAGTTTTGCCAGAGCAAACCAACCATGACTTGGGGCAGGAGTGTCACAAATGGGTGACTTCATATTACCTGTTTATTTAAATAATGAGCTGAGCTTAAAATAAAGATTAGACAAGTATATGTTGAAGTTTATAATTTGTGGAGCGTGGGGGTGCAAATGAGTTATAAACCAAGTAGATCATGGAATAAATATTAAGATCTGGAATGGAAGCCTAGGGAAATGACAGCCAGACCTGGCAGGTAGAATAACACTTAAAGTTTTGAGGTCTGTTTAAAAGGCAATAAAATTTGATTTGACAGTTTAAACATATCGTAGTTTCAATGGACCATTGTCAGATCCTTTGGTTAATTTAGAACCCATGAGAGAACAAGATTTTATCATATACTGTTTTCCTGATTTGGAGAGATTGATTTCACCTTACAAATATTTGCAATCACTTGAGTCCTGTTTGACTTTTCTTCAGAGGTCATTTCAAATCCTTTTGATTTTTAAAAAATTTACAAATTCAGCGTTTCTCTTTTCGATTCTGTCACTTTGTATTAATAATATTTTCTGGATATGATACTTCTTAATAAAAGCTGACTTATCTCTTCCTCCTTAAGTACAACAATAAACATATCCTAATCAGAGTCTGCTGAGGCATCTTATCACAACTGGGAAATCAGGGACTGTGGATTAGCGGCTCTCCTTATGTGCGAATAGAAAAAGAGCTAAGCATTGTGTGCTGCATTTTCTGTATTAGTACATGTCTTTAGATATTAATAGGAGCCTTAGAAATGTATAGATAGTCAATTATTTAATACCGATTTAAAAAAATAGCAAATAATATTTGGAGGATGGATTAATATATCATTTTGCAAGTTATTTACCAAATAATTAATGGCTTTCTTAGAGATATTCCCAGAGCAGGTGTGTGTTTACAACATGGCAAAATCCATTAGGCAAAGGGAGGGAAAAGAGCCACAATACCAAAGATGCATTTTGAATGTATTAGAATACAGCTCAGATGCTACCAAAATATTCAGGTTAAGGTTTGTCAATGGCTAAGTTACAGTGGATAAAATTTATCAAGCTTCTTCAATGAAATTACATGAAATGCTCCTCAACAATCTACTCTATAACTTACAAACTTCAAGTAATTTCTTCATATAGCTTGCAAAAATGGAAGAATCTCTTAAAAATTCATGCATGCTATTTGCCATCATTTGTTTTGATTCATTTAATGGAATTCTAATTTCAGTATTTTAAGAAACACTACTGTTTTCATTGTTCTGCAAATACACTTTCAATTTAAGACATTTTTCTTTTATAAAGAGTTTAGAATCAAAGATAGTAAAATTACAGATATTCTAAATCCTTCTTATTCGAAGTCGCTTCTGTGCTCTTCACATTTGTAGGTTTAATGTGTTAGAATTTAAGAAGATTTAAGTTAGAATACTAGAAGACATGTTTGCAAATAGTCTTTCATTTTTAAATACTCTGTGAACATTCCCACTTGGCTTATAAGAAGTTAGTGTGACATAGTTTTTTGTAAATATAATTGTTACATTCGAAAAGATTTCATATTCCAGTCAGGTGAAGACGGGAGAAATCAAGACTCCAGTAAGACAGGTATATCAGGGTAGAAGAGTTCAGTTACCAAAGCCAAGGAAGTAACATTACCACACCCATCAGCATAAATGTGGTAGATTCAGTCGCTGCTGAACATCCTGCTCCTGTTGTATCTAAAGTACTACCTCGGCCTGTCTGATGGATCTGCTTTACGTCACTGAGGTTCATCTCTTCTGGCATCCCTGCAGAAGCAAATAAGAAAACACAGGATAATGCATGAGCCCCTCGCCATGATGTGTCTAGAACAGCTATTAAACCCAAAATGTGGATGACAAGTGTTTTATCCTAGCCTTCCCCATGCGTTCGCCTAACTCAAGATGGGTAACATGCCATAGGTACTTCTGTTCTTAAATTAGAGAGTTCAGGCCCTTGAGTGGAAGTTCTCAAAAATATTATAAGAGCAAAATGAAAACTCTCCAGCTTTTTAAAGCACTTGGAATATTTTTCTAATGTCACTGATTGGTTTAAAAAAAAGAAATTTAATTAAAATGTCCTGAGGTATGGCACTTGCTTGCCTCAGAGATGTAACAAGTGCAGTAACTGTGTGAAACTTTTCCAGTGAAAACAAAACCATGTAAGGAGAAACAATTAGGACATTTTAAAAATAGAATTTATACAGATTGTATTTTGTTTTAGACTGAACTATGCATAGGATCCTCATTGGAAAAATATCAAAGAATAATAACAAATATTAAATGATATCCTTTACACACCTACACAGCTGTAGGGATGGAGGTGTAGACATCTGTTAACAGATCAAATAATTTGTTAGTAGGGTGGGGATTAAAGTTAGGAATGATGTGTTGGATTTTAAAAAATGGGTAAAATGATAGACCAAGATCCAGGTACATCCTGGTTATTACTTCTCTGTTCTATGAAACCTGACAAGTTGAGGAGACCAGCCCCCAAATTATTGGGAATGAAATAATCCTTTTCTTAAAGAAGGCTACCTTACTGTGATATCTGTAGAGAGTTACTAACTTATCATTTACTATGTAGTACCTGCAATGTTTTGAGACCAGATGGCCATCTCAAATAACTCATGGCATACCACTATCAGTCACAATTAATAAAGTTTAAATTCAGTGTTGCTATAGCCATAAATATTGACATTGTAATTACAGTGAGATTGAAAAAATCCTCATATAAGGAAAAGTCAATATTTATGTAATCAGGTCAATACACGTATACGATTCAGAAGGTAAGCTCTACTGCATTCAGGGATGAGAACATTAAAACAAAGCACAGCTCTACTGATCTGACATATTGATTTTACAGCTCTTACATTATTATTCATTGTTTGGGTAACTGTTTTGCCCTTCTGTGTCATTAGGCAAGATGAATAAACTAGTGATTTTTTTTTTAATAGGGACCAGAGTGTGAATATTTTAGTCATGGTTTCATACTTCTTGTTATAGCCAGAGCTTAACAAGGAGCTATTAGGACTTGAGGCAATTAAAAAAATTTTATTTCCAAGATAATTGTATAAATTTGAGCTTAAAGGGATTTGCTTTTCTTTTTTAAAACACCCTGAAGCGGTGTCTGGGTTGGATTCATGAGTAACTTTTTCTTATGCCTTTTTGAGCTTCATTCATTCATAGGCCAGCCACTGGTCTGGGTTCAAGGGTATCAAAATGAGTAAAAACGTGTAAGTAGAAAGAGGTTAAATCTTGGGTCAGCAAGTCAGGCAATGCTGGGAGGGATATCCCACTTTCAAGCAGATGTTATTTTCACATCTGAAGTAGAGATGTTATTAATAGTTCTAAGGATGATGGACCCTTGAGATGAGACTTATATGACAACAATTAAAGATCCCTTCAAGAGCCTTGCTGTGAAGGCTACAGTTTCGGATCAAATCACAATGTGATCTTGACATCTGTTAAGAAATCTGAGCATGCTAAGAAGGCTAGCCCCACAATTATTTGATGCAAAGATAGTTTTCTTTTTTTTTAAGATTTTATTTATTTATTTGAGAGAGAGAGAGAGAGAGAGAGAGAGAGAGCCCAAGAGGGGGTAGGGGCAGAGGGAGAAGCAGACTCCCCGCTCAGCAGGGAGCCCGATGTGGGACTCTATCCCGGGACTCCGGGATCATGACCTGAGCCGAAGGCAGTCGCTTAACCAACTAAGCCACCCAGGCGCCCCGCAAAGATGGTTTTCTTAAAGGAATTTAATTTAATTGTTAATTATACCAAAGCTTAACCAAAGACCCATAACAGAAAAAAAATTAGTTTGGGAATTTATTACATTAATACATTAAACAAAAAGTAATCTTTGAATAATCTTTTTCATGCATCTTAGCAATATACAAGATGCCAATAAATTCATATTTCTGTGTTTGGTGAGGGAAGACAGATAATCATATTATTATAAAAATAAATGTACTATTAAAATTTGGGTACATGCCTGATGGTTGGTACTATGAAGTATGTAAAAGGGATGGATGTAACTTGGTCAGAAAAGGCACCACGAAAGAAGTGTCATGTGTTAATTTATTTGGCAATATCTATAGAGCACATGCTAAGGTGCCAGTATTGTTCTAAACACTTCACAAATATTAACTTATTTAATTCTCATGATAATCCCATGTAGTCAGCACTGTTACTGTGCCTGATTTTATAGCTGAGGAATCTGAGGCCCTGGGAAGTTAAGCAACATGTGAACAGGGGAAGCAGGGGTCAGACCCAGAAGTCCAGACCCAGCTTGTGTTCTGATCACTAGCTGGGCTGACTCCAGGCACTTTGCTGGGCACCAAGAAATCAACATGTAACACGGATTGGGAAGATAACCCCACATATTGGGAACACAGAACGTTAATTATGTTGCCCAGAATATGTGTGTATGTGTGTGTGTTTTCTTCCTTTATTTGGGATGGCTGATTATGTGCTACTTTTGTGTATTAAGCAACTGTAAGTACTCAGAATTAGAATTCATGTGGCGAGTAAACTGTTGAATCAAAATGACTTGATGAATCTGAGAGGATTGTAGTTTCTTGTCTTTTTCTTTTTTTAAAGATTTCTTTTAGAGACAGAGTATGTGCACACACATGCACGTGCATGGAGGGGAGAGGGAAAGGCAGAATCTCAAGCAGACTCTCCTCTGAGTGCAGAGCCCTAAGCTCCCTGATCCAAGGACTGTGAGACCATGACCTGAGCAGAAAGCAAGAGTCAGATGGCTAACTGACTAAGCCACCCAGGCGCCCCATGTAGCTGCTTTTTTATCCTGCATATGCCAATCTTTACCTTGTGACAGGGGAATGTGGGTATTTCTTCCTCTCTCTCTCCACTTCATCTATCCACATATTTAAAAAATTCTCTTAGCTTCACTGAACAATGAAGACTATGTTTAAAGATAATTTATTCTCTATTTTTAATAAGGAAAATTACATGGGCAAGAATTAATTCTTAATTTAGTCACTCATTTACAAAATTTACTTTCTGCTCTCTGTCAGGCACCCTGCTGGAGACTGAATATGCACTATGCATTTACAGGCTTTTTCTTCATACTTTGAGTCTTAAAAAAAACAAAAACAAACATCAAAAAACAACAACCAACTGTTGTCTTTTCTACCAATGGTGAGAATGTAGGGCAGATTTAAATGTTGGGGGTGGACTATAGGTCATTATTTGAGTTCAACAAAGTCAAAATAATTTATCTCTACAAATAGTCTAAAAATGTCTATTACATAGTATGCTTTTAATAAATAGCACTGAGTGAATAAATTGAAAGATGTGATTCTCACACAGTCGAATGAGTTAGGTAGAATTATTTTCTCCCATCTACAGATTAGGAGCTGAAGGAGTAGTCTCCTCAAGGTAATGTGGTTGTAGCTAAATCCCAGGTGTGTCCCAGTCAAATGTGGTTCCCTTTGATCCTAGCACCATGCTCTTTGCCACTACACAAATGAAGCCTTGAACTTGCAGTCAAACATTGACTCAGCCATAGGCTGGCTGGATGACTTTAGACATGACTTCGGTTTTACGGATCTTTGAAATGACAGCATTTTCAGTGAGAAAGGAGGGTTAGTCAAAATACAGTACTGACTAATTGATTAAGTATTTGGAAAATAAAATAGCTATTTACCCCAGAGCATTCTCTAAATTAAGTGCCTCTAAGACCAAAGACTTAAGTATAAATAATGAGGAAGCAGACAAATCCTGCCGGTTGTTTTTTTAAATTTACGTGTAGGTGGGGGAAAGCATATAGATTTTTAGGCAGACTCTATAAAATAAAAGAGTAATAGCTTTAACATCTGAAAAAAAGAATCTCTGTGCAAAGTGGAAAAGTAAAGGACAGGGACAAATAGTGAAGTGGAGGAAATATTGCGGTGCATGTTGCAGCAATGTCTCTAACACAGAAAGAGTTCTTAGAATTCATAAGAAAACAACAAAAATCCCAATAGAAAAATGGTGAAAGGAAGTAAATGGATATTTACAAGATAAAAGTTTAACTTATCTCTAAAAAAATTGAAAAGCCTTCTTTGCTGGAAAGAAAATAAATATCATTTTACACATGATAAGATGTCAATTACCTAATGTCCAGTGACAAAGGCAAGGCAGAGAGGAGATAATAGTCAGTTTTGTCAAGGATACAACCTCCTTTTTAGGGCATTTGTCAATATATATAAAAATGTTTTAAATATATGTTACCTCAACCCAATAATTCCACCTTTATGAGGTAATTTTATGGGCATAATTAAGAAAATATGCACCTATTTATTCACAAAATATTAATCTGTACAATGTGAATAAAAATAAATGTTACTAGTAAATTGGGTTAAGGAAACTAAATGCACACATTATAACAAATGATTCAAAGTGTAGATATTGGTACAGAAAAATATTTGATATAACTTTATATATATATTTTCATGATCTTTAGGGGTATCTGGGGTATTTGAAATCTGATAGTCTATAGCTGTCTTTCTTTGAGGGTAGGGTATCCCTCATTAATTTCTGTGTTCACGTAGTAGGCATTTGGTAATAATTAGGTGAATGAATAAATTGATAATTTAAACGAGTACAGAAAATCACAAAATTATAAAAAATGTTTCTCTAATTCAGTTTTTCTTCCCCCCATCTTTAATGAGGTGTAATTGGCACACAATTTTGTGTAAGTTTACAGTATACAACACACTGATTTGAAATACTTAAATATTGCAAATGATTACCATCATAGTTTTAGC